AAAGTATAGCACATTAAATTGTCCCTCTCTTCCTCTAAGGAGAGCTCACTTTGCATACCAAGAGACAAATGCCCAGACAAGCATTTCCTGTTTTCCACCAATGCTAAGGTGCTAATTATTTTGTTGTTGAGATATAAAATGGCACAACTACTATAGTAAACAGTATGGAATTTCCTCAAAAAATTAAAAGTAGTTTTATCACATGATCTAACAATTCTACTTCTAAGTAGATATCCAAAAGAACTGAAAACAAGGATTCAAGTACATCATTGTTCACCTATGTTCATAGCTACATTATTTGCAATAGCTAAGAGGTGGCAGCAACTCGGGTATCCATCAATGAATGAATGGGTAAAAATGTAGGCTGTACATACTATGGAATACAACTCAGCTTTAAACAGGAATGAATTTCTGACATATGTTACAACACGAATAGACCTTGAGAATATTATGCTAAGTAAAATAAGCCAATCACAAAAGGATAAATAGTGTACAATTCTATTTAATCAGGTTCATAGAGACAGAAGGTAGAATGTTGGCTGCCAGGGACTAGGGGAGGGAGGGAAACTGGGGAGTTAATGTTCAGCGACTATAGATTTTCCATTTTGAGAGATGAAAGAGTTCTGGAGATGGTATTGATGGTTATACAACAATATAAATGAACTTAATGCTACTGAATTATACACTGAATGGTTAAGAGGGTAGATTTTACATTACGTATATTTTACCATACTAACATATATATAATTTAAAAACTAGGTCAATGTTTCTTAACCTTTTTTTCATTATGGATCCTTACATAAACACCCTCTTTAGGCATTTTTTTTCCTAGTCACCCCCCTCCAAAGAAATGTTAATACCAGAGATAGGCCACACGTTTGTTTGTATACAGTTTGCTTTACATGTAAAGAAAAAAAGGTTTTAATAGTTAGATATGGTGGCACATACACATGTAATCCCAGCACTAAGGAGACTGAGGAACAAGGATTATAAATTTGAAGCTAGCCTGGGTTACAGAATAAGAATAAGATTTTATTTTTACCCTTTGAGAACTACTTTCTGCCTGGGCATTATGACCTTCATATAGTATAGTACATGTTAGGTGATAGTCAACTTGAAATCAGAATTTATGAGAGCAACACACAGAATTTGTTTTTATTAGTATATGTTAAAAATCCAGGTAGTTGTCATAAATAATAGAGTTAAAGAAACCTATGTGCAAAAATATTTAAAAATCACAAATTCATCTTTTATTTAACAGCTATTTTCTGAGCACATACTATATGTTAGTTTCTGTGCTAAGCAAAGGGAATGATGAACAAAAATGACATGTTCCTTACCCTCATAGTACTTTATGAGGTAGTTCAGTGGATGAGACAAACTGGTCAAAAATCACACAAATAAATACAAAACAACATCAGTAAATGTCTCAAAAGAGAGCTAGAGAGATACTTGGCTGTCCAGGAAGGTGCTAGAGGAGAGGAAGTGATGATTGAGCTGAGCCTGGAAGATGAAAAGACCTTAAGTAGCAAAGAGGAGAAGACAGACCTTTCCAAAGATCAGGGACACAGTGTGCAAAGAACCTGTGATGAGAGGGAGCAAGATACCTTCAGGAAACCCAAAGAAGACATGAGTGAAGCTGGTGGAGTAGCTCAAGTGGAGTACCTGCCTAGCAAGCATGAGGCCCTAAGTTAAAAAACAAATAAATAAAATAAAAGATATGAGTGACTGGGACAGCAAGCAAGTGATATAAATGGAAAAATGGAGCTAGTCATGGTTTCTCAACCTTGGCACTCTTGGCATTTGGAGCCTGATAATTCTTTATTGTGAGCTGTTCTATGCATTACATGATCTGTACAAGCATCCCTGGCCTCCATCCACTAAGTGGAGTAGTACAGACGTGGCCAAATGTCCTCTGGAAGGCAAGGTCACCGTCAGTTGAGAAGCACTGGACTGGAGAGATAAGCATAGGCCAGACCATGTAGGCCTTGTTACGGAGATTTGCTTTAATCCATGAGCAGGGGATGCCTTTCAGGATCACAAAGGTGAAAGGAGGATGATATAACCAGAACTGCCTTTCTGAAAGACCTCTGCCAGCAGTGAGAAAATGTAGAAGAAGGAAAATCCAGGTTAAAGGAGACATGGATAGACAAATTAAGAGACCAAGTTTAGCAGCTCCTAGACTGGTCCTTGTGAAAGATGATATCACCTTGGACTTGGGTGGTGAGTGGAAGAGATGGAAAAAAAAAAGTGGATGAATTTGACAGACAGGAAGTAAAACCAACAGAACTTGGTGATAGATTGGACACGTAGGATGAGTCTAAAATAGACGTGAGGTATGACTCATGTCTGAGCAAGTGGATGGGTAATGGTGCCATTTATTAAAATGAGTTGGAAGTGGCCTAGGGTTGTAGGGTACTATTGCACTGTTTTATCATGTTAGATTTGAGGGACCCTAAAAAATGAGGTGAATATAAAATGGTGATTGTTTTGAGGGGAACCAGTGGGAGGGCAAAAGGAGAGGGTGGGGGGTGGTGAATATGAATTAACACTAAAACCCATTAAATTGCTTTTAAAGGGGGGAAGAAATATAAGAAAGAGTAATAGAGAAGGTAAATTTGATCAAAATACATTATATGCATATATGACATATCACAATGAAACCCCTTTGTATAATTAACATATGCTAATAAGAATAAAATTCAAAAGAGAATGAAAAAAATCGAGATACTCAGAACCTGATGCCAAGCAGGTAATTGGATATGTGAGTCTGGAGCTTTAGGATCTAGACTTCAGCTATGAATGGGGAGCAAATGGTCTAAAGGTGGTTGTCTCAGCTGGGAAAGGGTATGACGCCACCTAGGGAAGGAATATTGGAGGAAGGATGAGGCCCCAGGGCTGGGTTGAGTGTGACCATCATGTAATGACTTGATACACAAAACTACACCGAGAGAAGGCATGGCAGGAATGTTAGTCAAGGACGATCTGGAGCTGGATGCCAGTGGCTCATATCTGTAATCCTCAATACTCAGGAGGCAGAGATCAGAAGAACTGTGGTTCAAAACCAACCCCAGGCAAATAGCTCATGAGACCATATCTTGAAAAAACCCATCATAAAAAAAGGGCTGGTGGAATGGCTCAAGAGGTGAGGGCATCTGCCTAGTAAGCATGAGGCCCTGAGTTTAAACCTCAGTACCACAAAAAAAAAAAAAAAAAAAAAAAAAGAAGAAGAAGACAGATGTGGACTTTCAGATGCCCAGAGAAGAAAGGAGTCAACAAACATGGAAGGCTAACCTGGGTCAAGTCCTACTGAGAGACCAAACAAGAGGCTAAAGCAAGTCCACTGGATGTAGAGCAAAGGTTACTGCTGATCTTAGTGAGAGTGGCTTAGGAGGCTTAATGAGGAGAGGGGCCAAATGGGAATGGGTTGGGGAATAGGAGGTGAGGACATGGAGACAGAGAATAGATAACATCTTGAGACACTAGACAGGGAGGGGAGAAGAGCAGAAACTGGGAAAGGGTTTGAGGATTTTCTTTTTGATGGTGCTGGGGATCGAACCCAAGGCCTTGCACCTGGTAGATTAGCACTTTTCCACTGAGCGTTAAACCAGCCCAATAAGGATGTTTTACAGTGGGAACAGCATGAACATGTACCGATGTCAACTGGGAGAATTCTATTGAGAGGAGTCAGATAGTCAAGGAAAAGGGATGCCTCTGAGGAGGGAGGACTGAGATTCCAAGCATGGGCAGGCAATGCCGAAGAGAAGGAAGGAAAAGAGGAGAGGAAGGAGAGGGGAGATTGTGTGCGGGAGAGGAGAAATGGAGAGGCTTCTGCTGGGAGGGAGAGGACACTGGGCACAAGAGGGAAGAAGTCCAGAGGCTGGAGGAGAGTGGAGAAGTTTGAAGTTATGAAAATCATTATTAGAATAATGACTTTCAGGAAGCAGCAGACCCTTGGGTAGCTAAGAAAAATAACACAGTTGAAATACTCCTTACTTGTATTAGTGTCATACAGGTGCCATAACAAAGTACCACAAATGGAGTGACTCACTGCAATAGAAATTTACTCTCCCATGGTTCTGGAGGCCACAAGTCCAAAATCAAGGTGTTGGCAGGGCTGTGCTTCCTCTGAAGGCTCCAGACAAGATCTTTCCTCATCTTTTCTAGCTTCTGGCAGTTTCTGGCAATCCTCGCCAATCCTTGGCACTTCTTAACTTAGATGCATTGTGCTGATCTCTACCTCTGTCTTTACAGGGCCTTCTTCCCTAAGTGTCTGCCTACAAATTTCCCTCTTTTTATAAGGATACCAGTCATTAGATTAGGGTACATCCTAATCAGTAGGACTTCATCTTGATTTGATTGCATCTGCAAAGACCATGTTTCCAAATAAGTTCTCATTCACATGTTCCAAGTAGACATGGGTTTTGTCTAACCCAGTACATTGCTAAGATATGAGACCATGTTAATGCAGTTAGAAGAACTTACAGAATTAAAACAAAAATGTTTTAAATAGCTAACGTTTATGGATTCCCAAGTGCCTCACCAGTGTGGTGCCACACACCCTTCACAACTATTATATATATGATATTCCTACTGTCCCATGTTACAGATGAGGAGGAAACAGGCTATGAGTAGCTGAGTGACCAGCCCAGGGTAAGAACCTGGCAGAGTCAGGACCTGAACCAGTCACTCTGACTCCAGAAGCCACTGTTAACACCAGATTTTCCAATTGCCCTTTTCCAGTTGCTCCTTAATTAATTAGAAAACCAAACTAATCAACTATTGCTCTGCCTCAGGAACTACCTCTCCCCACCAACATTCTTTTACCATCTATTGTTTTCTACATACATCTTTTTATACATTCAGAATATTTGCAACTGCGTGCTATGTGGGAGCCTACTGTGTGGGAATAGAAGCCTTCTACTTGGGCCATTTCAGCTTGGAAAAATGTAGCTCTCCCTTTTCCAGTAATTTCTGGGCTTGGCTTTCTTTCCCCAGGTCCCCAGCATCCAATTCATGGAGTTCTTGGAAGCAGAAAACCAGGATGACTGCTACAGCACAGGAGCTGGCTGTGTCCACACCCAAGACCAGCATGGGGTGTATGTCATGTATGACGCAGCCTTGAGGGATCTGGAGGACCTAGAGGCAGAACTGCTGCTCGTGGCCAGTTACTACATCGAGAAAGAAAAAAGTAAGAAGTCAGGGTTTTAAAAACCAGGCAAATGAACAAAGGCACATAAAAGCCCTATTCAGTGCCATCTACCCCAACATATAAACATATATCCAATGGTATCTAAAAATGCAATTAGCACATGCAACCCCTTGCCCCCAACACACACCCACTTTGGAAAGGATATGGTTTGTTACCAGCTCAGTCCTCCTTCTGATGGAGACTGTGACTATTTAAGGGCTCGGTTGTAATTCTTGCTGTTGTTTAGATTCTACTTGTTGCTCAGAGACATTTCTGCATCACCCCCCGGGAGCAAGGGATGTGGTGCTGGGCCCTGACAGAAGCAAAGCAAGCAAGTGAAATGAATGACTTCTTTTCTAAGCAATGGACCTGGAAGAACCAGCATTTAGAAGCAGAGACATCCATCCCTGGGTTCCTAACAGGAAACCACTAGGATGTAGGAGGATCTGGCTAAGAAAATGCCAGACAAGCCCCAGAGGGAGGAGTCATTACTCAGGGCAATCAAGTAACCCATAATATGTGTTTGTGCTCCTTTTTGGTACTATCATCTAAATTTCCAATTTTAGAAATAGATGAGGTAAGAATATTTGTTTTGAAATAATATGATAGTATTAGTATTACTTTTGGAAAGAGCTTAGAATTTCTAGTCATATTGAACATGTAAGGGAAATTGAGCAAGTGTTTGTGTTATTTTGTAACATGTATAGACTGTAATTAAGCATAATTCATGTTCATATTGTTATAAAATGCTGCTTGAAGAATGCTTGACAACTAACTTTTCAGATCCCAGACAGAATTAATTTAATGGAGGATTGGACTCTATGTCCTGTCATTGCCACAACCATTAGTATCTGAATCATGTAGTGATGGCATCCAATAATCCAGGATATTTAATTTCAGCTCTTAGCCTTTATCTTTATTGGCTGACCTACATGCAATGCGTCATTTTTGGCCATATTAACTTTATGATTCCCTTGCAACTATTTCTAGCTGCTAAGAGTTTAATTTGATTGACACACATTTAACCACATGGGCATTACAATGGAGCTAGTATCTAGTCATCATTGTGAAATGATTTCCCAACTGTTGTCAGAGTTCCTGATCAAAGCCTTTCTCTCACTAAATACTCATCACATACTTGATAATTATTCAACTCCCACTCAGCACCTGAAAATTTCTTGCCTTCTAATATTTTCTTCTGAAATAGGTCACTTAAAAATTTAAAGCAATAAAAAAGGACAATAAACAAGAAGAAAAAAAAAACCCCAAAATTAAAGCAATAATAATGCTGATAGTGAAAATTAACATTAACACAGTGGAAAACTATTTCAACTAATAATAACAATGATTTACTTTATTGATTTAAGTTAGTAATTAACCTACTTAATGAACATCTTGGAAACTTCTTTGAAAGTTTTTGACTTAGCTAACATTAATGGAAATAGCATGCTAACCTGAGTTTGTTGTTAAATTATCAGGGACCTGGTTTTGAAAAACAAGAAACGTGTGTTTTGCCTTTAAAGTTATGTTTGAGGAAATTTTAGCATAGATTTCATGTCGATTAAATTTTGGATTTATTTCCAAAAGTAGTCTTTAAAATGAGAAGTCAACAAATATGAACTTGAGCCTAGTTTTTGCAGGTGGCTCTTTAGTTGACTTTTTAGGCCTCCCAGTGACTGGTTGGGTCTTCCACTCCTGAGGTGGGGCTAATAATCTGAGGGATGCATTCTCATAGAAACAGCTTTGGAAAGACCTGTCTCTAATCATTTCCATCCTCTTCTCTCCCAGGTCACAAAGAGGGCAGCAAGTCAAAGAGTAGCCAGACCTGGGGATGGGCCCATGCAAGTGTGGACAGATTTGCTGTGCTGTATGACATGTGGTCTTGGGAAACAGCTCTTCTGCAAAACAAATGCCAGGTATTATTTCTAGAAGACAAAACATCTGTTAAACCATTCTTACCTGATCCTGTAGGTTTTTTTGTTTTGTTTTGTTTTCTGTTAAACCAATGAGATTTTTAGGGAAGTTCTCAATAAAGGAAATCATTTTTATTTAAATAATCTCAGCTGACTATAAGAATGTGAGTAACAAATTTTATTGTCTTTCCTGTTGTTTTCATCACAAAAAATGTGAAGGATACTGGTTTATCTTGCAGGCATAAATGTGATAAGAGAGCTATAAGATTAAGACCTTTCATATACATGCTTTTAGTGAGAATGGATGGTAATGCCACTCATATTATCCAGTCATAGGGATAAGCCTGGCTTTGCTAAATACAAACTGACTGATCCATCAAGGACTTTAAAAGCATATGCCACTGTGGGGTGGGTGAAAGTAGTGGGTAAGGGGTGCTGAGTGCAGTTAAGTTATGAGGATGAGTTTATAACAATGAAAACAAGTTACTAAACCACCAACCATATCATTAATAATTCACATCTCGATAATAAATGAGATACTGAAGTTGCACTTCATTTGTGTCCTTAGTGTGAATTTTTAGCCCTGCTAATCATCACCATTGTTAGTTTATTTCAAGAAACATTAAGTATTTACTCTGCCAGGTACTGTTCCAGGCATTAGAGACATGTAGATAAGTAAGAAAACATGATCCTTATTTTTAAGAAATTTATAGTTTATATCTGATCTTATTTAAATGACTGAGAAATGATAAGTTATAGTCTATAAAAGTTCATGTAATCTCTAAGCAAAAAGTATAACTAGTGGCTTACAGGTTAGAGTTGAGACACATTCAAGGGAGACATGGGCACTCCAGTGAAGGGAGAGATTTGTCTCATTTGGAGGCTATCAGAGTGGAAAAAGGAAGTCTACTCAGAGAAACAGATATTTACTCTTACTACTAAAAGATGGATAAGATATCTGTTAGAAAAAAATATTCTTAAGCAAAGGAAAGAGCATTTACAATGTCAGGAAGGTGTCACATGGGAATGACCAATTAGAATCATTTGTAGACTGCTATGACTAGGATGTAAACCTAAATCTGTTTTAGGTGCAGGCTGTGAAAGGCCTTTGAATCATGCTGTTAAGAGCCTTATCATATTAGCAAGAAAGAGGCATTGGTGAGCCTCCATAGCTCCGTTTTCAACAGCAGTCTTGGTGTGGGCATGGAGAATGGATTGGGATAGAAAGTCCCCGGAGAAAAGTAGTGCAGCTATCTCAGCAGTGACATGAAGAGTTAGAAGAAGGCTTTATGGAAAGAATGTAGAAGTGAGGACAGCAAAGAGGAGCAGACTCTACCACATTTTGAAGTAGAAATGGTGGGATTTGAAGACTAGACCTGGATCTCCGTGAGAGAGCAAGAGTAGATTTTAAAGGACTTCCAAAGAGTCATGGAGGAGGCTGTTAACTGAAGCAGAATACAGGAAAGGGGAAGCTATATTGACTCTAGGACACAGGCATTTCAGGGTTTGCTAAAACCCTGATGTAGATGTTTTGTGAGGAGGTACAGAATGACGTTCAGGAGCTGAGGTGTGATGACTGTATGTCGAACCAGGATAATGAATCAGAACAACTGGGGAAAGCCTCCTTGACTTCTATGTATTAGGGGCAGGTCATGAGCGAGGACTAATCAAACAGACTGCAGGAAAAAAGACAGAAGAAATAGTATTATAAGAGCCGACAGAAAAAAGTTATACTTAGGAAGTGGTTGCTGGTGACGCACAGCGAAATGTCAGATGACCCCTCAAAACCCAGCAGTGGGATCAGCACACAGGTGGCCAGTGACAGCTGCGAAAGACTCTTTCAGAAGGATTTTGGGGGTGGAAGCCAGAGTGTAGTGCACTATGATGTGGTCTGAAGATGGAGAAGAGGGGATGGTTTCTTTGAATTTTTCTAGTAGAATTTTTTTCATCTATGCTCTAGTCTGTTACTCATGGAGAAATCACTTGATTTTTTTGTTATTTTTTTTTTAAACCACTGGCAGTGTTAAAAGACGCAAGGCTTGAGCTCTAAAAAAAATATATTCCTTTTTTCAAAGGTTTGTCTGGAACTTTGACCTGCCAATTACAACCGTACTTTGATCAACTAAGTAAATGAGAGATTTACATTCATAGTGCAAGTAACTGGAAAGGCTGTATTAAATGTAAACAGGACAGAATGCCTAAACTCAAAAGTTGATTGGTTCAGGCATGAACTTTAAGCAGCCCCTCTTTCCTGTACTCTTTCCCCAACTTCCCTTTCAACTCCTCTAGGCCTGTGGAGGCCCCAGGCAGGACTCAATGGCAATGAAGAGTCAGAGAGGGTAGAAAAGCAATTTTTTTTACACTTGAGCCTATGGTCCATTTTGTGCTAAGCTATAGGGCTGTTCACTAGCTCCTTCTGGGGTAAATGAAACCATTTTAATTTAAAACAATTGTTGAAAATATCTCCTCCTTTCTACCCTGAGAATAAGTTCTCTATAGAAAGTGAACATTTTGTGCCAAAACTGTAAAATATGGCCTTTCAAGTCAGAAATTCTGTCCAAAGAGCCTATTTTTAATGGCTAAGCCACATTTCTATTGAAAGTACAATTGATTTCCCCCAGTACTGATTCTACTGCCAAGTTTTCTCAGCTGTTTTTGATTTTTAGATATATTGGTATCACTACTTAAGAACTGCCTGAACATATTGGGCTCTTTTAAATTCTAAAAATAATCATGTTATATATGAACACTCATAAAATTGGAACTGATGCTAATTTAAGTGGATTAAAGAGCTCAGAGCAGCCAGTTATTTGCTGCACCGGTTCCTAGGTGACGTGTACCATCTGCTAATTCTCTCCCCAGCTCCAAAGGACACATTTCCAGGACAATTTGAATTAGTGCATGCAGCACTCAAAAAAGATCCTCATGTATTGTTCCTTTGGAAAAAAAAATTGTGACAATTTGTATCTAGCATTGATTTTCTGTTTTGAACTTTCATTTGACCTAAAACATTATTTTAAAACTTTTTCAAATCCTAGAAATAATGAAGTATCGTATAAACACAGTGAGGTTTGAGATTTATTTTGTCCATTTTCTTATTTTCACCACTGTTTTTCTGCCTGCTATCAGGGTGTACAGCATATTATTTTGCCTGAGAGTTGGCCCTTGACACACACAGGTGACATTTGACAGGCTAGGAAGACTTCTTAGACAAATATCAACCCAGAGTTTAAATGGAAATGTGCCAGTTAGCAAACAGATAATAAATAGAACCCATGAGGCAGAAAGATCACATTCCACCCCGTTGGGAAAGAATTCATAATAAAATTTTGCAAAGACCCACCTGATAGCTTTTCAAAGTTGAGCTCAAAACTTGCCGAAGTCTTATCAATTTAAAAAGAGAGCTACACTTTCCTTCTTAACAGAGAATGAAACATTACAATAATTAAAACATACTAAAAAATATTTGTTATTTTTCTTAAATTCAAATTTGATTGGATTTTTTTGTTTGTTTTGTTTTGTTTCTCTTACAGTACTGGAGATTGAACGCAGGGCCTTACACTTGCTAGGCAAGGGCTTTCTATCACTTGAGCCATGACCCCAACTCTTTTGTGTTATATTTTGGTTTTGAGACAGGGTCTCACTAACTTTGCATGGGCTGGCCTCAAACTCATGATCCTTCTGTCTCTGCCTCCAGAGTAGCTGACATTAAGGGCATGTGCCACCACGCTGGCTTGTCCTATGTTTTTATTTGCTAAATCTGACAATCCTATCAATAACAATAGTGAGTGTGCAATTTAGCATGAACCTTTGCAACCTGACATCAAAGGATTGGGATCACCAGCAAGAACTCTTACCCCCTCCCCCAATTCCCCATGAACTTCCTCTAGTAACCAAACAATTGGGCTCTTTGTTCAAAACCAGGTCAAGGAAGTATAAATACCATAAACCAGCTCCTGGTATTATCCTGGCCCCGCCAAGAGGGTTCAACTTAGTCCAGAATAAATTGGGAAGTAATTGTTTCTTTCCTAATCTCCCCCTAAGGCTACTGAGTGACACCCTTCTTACCCCATCTAGTCATTCTTCCTTTGTTTCTGTTTTATTTTCTGCTATTTAATAATTGAATATAATTCTAAAGTAGAGCTTGGTGGATGGAACAGAGTAATTTAGATCACCCTCATTACTTCATTTTCCCTGGAGATAACTTAAAGTTAAGGCGATCACCATCTTCCTTCACTGCTTTCTCTACACTTGTGATATGTGAATTTCTAACCTGTGGATCATCTTCTGTGGCACAAGCTTTTAGCTTCCTTTTGTGTTTTCTCTTCACTATTAAGGTTGATTCAAGGCTTGTTGGGTCAATGTTTCCCAAAAGGAAGCCTCTGAAATCAGGTGCTAAATAAAGTGCCCCAGCCTCTCCCTCCCTGAACTTTGGGGCCTTCAGACAACTGAGCATCTCTTAATAGAGCAGTATTTGATTCCCAGTGTGCTGTTCATTCTCAAGTGTTTAATTCTCTTGTGTAGAAGAGGGAGACTTTCTTCTCTGTCCTGTTAGATTAAAATCTTAGGCCCCAAAAGTTAAACTTAAAAAAGAAAAAGTGTTGACTATGTATGCTACAGAGGCCTTCACTCAAAAGAACACCCAAAGAAGCAGCAAGGCCCAGGGGTTTATATGCTATTTTAAAATGTAAAGTGACTAGACTAGGATTAGTGTAGTACCTTTGAATGCATAGTCTCATTGGAGCTCACAGTTATTACAGAATTACCTTATTAATTATACAGCCTCCTTTTATTTGTGGAGATTAGAAGAAGACAACAGAAGCAGGTCAAACTCAAGTCCAGTTCTTCTGGCTCCAAACCCTCACCCTCTATGACTTTGTGCGTTTACTAACTGCCAACTTGTATTGGTGTTCTACATGCTCACCCCAGGGCCACCAGCTATCCAGAGGTTCAAAGTTGTGTCTTTCCTGCAGAGGCTCTGGGCTTGCCAAAGCTGTGGTGGGACCTCCCCTCTCCTTGCTGGGCCCCAGGGCTGCCTCTGCTGTTTCCTGACTATAACCTCATTTTCAGCTTCTTGATAGTTACTTTGAAGCCTACCAGCACACACTGGACCCTGAGGAAAGGTTTGCCTTGGCACAAGTGATGACTGACATCATGCATCGTCGCCCCAAGTTTGATCTCAGCTACTCTTATTTTGTTAAGGCCTACCAAGATGAATGCACGTGCCTGAGGCTTCACCTGCAGCTAGTGGGGGGCATCCTCAACCATCAGGTGAGTAGGGTTTTTAATATTGCATGTGAAGAAGAAGATGGAACACATGAGTCAAAAGTGAAAATAATGTTCTCCTTTCATCTCTGTGATTTACTGGAGACCACTTTCTAAATGAAAAGGCAAAGCTCATCAAGAAGATGGGTGATTTCTCCAGGTTGGCCAGCCTCAGGCCAGGTTGGCTGAGAATCTCCTCCAACCATTCACTGTCAAGCGCAACTAGGAGGCCCTAGAGCCCAGAAGACTTTGAGGTGCTCCTCCATCACCTGGCATCAGGACTTCGGCCTGAGCCTCTCCTTCAGCCACTAGGCAGCTTTTTAACCATCCAGGAGTGATGGACCAAATGAAAATAAGGATTCTACACCAAAAAAAGTGATTGTTTTTAAAAGGACACCAAAAGAAATGATTATTGGCCTGGTATGGTGGCTCACATCTATAATCCCATCTACTTGGGAGGCAGAGATTGGGAGGATAGCTATTAGAGGTTAGCCTGGGCAAAAAGTTGGCAAGACCCCACAAGCCAGGTTGTAATGGTGTGCACCTATCATCCCAGCTAAGTGGGAGGCATAAGTAGGAAGATTGTGGACCAAGGCTGGCCCAGGTAAAAAAACGTGAGAATCTATTTTGAAAATAGGTTAAAAGAAGGAAGGAAGAAAAGGAAGGAGGGAGGGAGGGAAGGAAGGAGGAAGGAAGGAATGAAGGAAAGAAGAAAGGATGGAAGGAAAGAAAGAAAGAGAAAGGGAAGGAAGGAAGAGAAAGAGAAAGAGAAGACATTGTATGTCCTTTAGGGAAAAGTTAGACACGAAGCAAGCAGGAGATGAAGGACATTGCAGCCTGGTTGGACTTAATTACTTGACAGCAAATTTTCTTTTACTCTTAAAATTGGTTGCATTTGCTTTCCTTGGCTGACCCTTGGCTCAGGCTGAGACCAGCATGTCTCACTGCAAACAAGTCTTCAAAACAATGTCTGGGTGAAAATTAGTCAAATTATAAAGAGACTGTGAAGGGATGATATCCTTCTCCTGTCAAGGTTCATAGCTCACATCCATGGGAAAGTTTAACTCTTCTCATTGTAACCCCTATGCTACATTTTTAGATGGAGTGTCAGCGGGAATATGTACCAAGGCTCTGGCGAGAGGATCATCCAGATGGTCGGAGTACATTTGGACTTCCCCTTAACATAATTTGCAAGCAGCTTATTTCCATCAGCAATAGCTGGTAAGTTGATGTTGTCTCTAGGCATTTTACACATAATCTTCTAGATTAATTAAGGGTATAGTGTTAAAAATCTAAATACTACTTCATAAAGCACTTCTCAGGGATTTGGAGTGATGACAGATGTATCTGAAACAGCCACAAAAGAGAGATTCCCTCAAATATTGAATTTTTGTTTGCTTTGTAAGTAATAAAGAATAGGTGGCTAGAATTTAAACATGTCACTTAGTGCAGAATTGTCACTCCCTTGAAAGGTCCTGTGTGGGAAAATAGCTGTTCTTGAAATGTACATAATATCTGAAACATAGATGTGCTTAAAAATTCCTTCAGAAAGGAATTTCATTCTTTTAAGAAGTGTTGCTAAAGAGGTTTCTAAAGATTTGTCTTGTGACTTCACCCCTTTAAAGAACAGAGTTCAATTTCCTGAGACCACTTAGACAGGGCACACATTTTGTCACCCCTTCCACATGACCACTTCCCTCCCCATTCCCTCCAGTCTTTGAGGATAAAGGGACCAGGAAGTAGGTGGCAAGCCCCAGGTTGATCTGAATAGCCCTAGATCATGATCTCTCTGTTGTCTTCAAATGGGTGGAGAAATTGTTTAGTTCTTCTCAGTCTGCAATGAATACATGTGGCAGGTGGTGTGCTAGGAGCTGGGGCCCCAGATGTGAACACAGGCATGGCCCTATGTTCTCAGGAGGTCTGCAGTCCAGCATAAAGACAGAAATTGCCATGATAGATTATGGTATCATCTTGGGAGCAGGCAGTGTGCCCTGGGAGTTAATAGCAGTGATTCTAACCTCATTTCTTACAAAAGAGCCCAGGAAGTTCCAAAAACAAAGCACTGCCTTTTGGCCAGAGACCTTTCTCAGGACTGATTTCTTCACTGTAATGTACTTGAGACACCAGCTGTGTGTGCATCTTGCTATGGCAAAGACCTGCTGTTCAGGAAATGGTTTTTGGCAGAACAGGCTAAAGCTATAAGGATAGTAAAACCCATTAGGATCGTCTCAAAAGTCAATGTCATTTGCTTGATGAGATTCCTTGGCAGACTTTGGGTTTTGTTTTGGTTTTTTTAAGATCCAGAACTAAGAGAACATCATATTAAGTGAAATTAGCCAGGTTCAGAAGGTCAGAAGCCACATGTTTTTTCTCATATATGGAATATAGACCTAATACAAATACAGCAATGTTATAAAAAACAGGTCACACTAAGGGCAAGTCACATACGAAAGAGAGTGAGTAAAAGAAGGAAGTTAAGAAGGTGAATGTAGTTAATGTACTCTCTATACAAGAATGAATATAGAATTTTTAAGCCTGCTGAAATCAACGCAAGAAGGGGATTAAGGTAGAAAGTAGAAAAATAGAGGAGATGAACCAATTCAGGCTATAATACATATATACATGGAAATGTTGTAAGGAAACTCCCTGTATAGCTATCTTAAACAAACAAAAATGTCATTTTGTCTTTTTTACAAAATCAGAGAAGAGGAACAAGTCCTGTCCATGGGGGGTTGATACCAGTGGTTAGGGGGAGGTTATAGGGAAAAGTATAGGAAGATGAATATGGAGCAAATACTGGGCACACATGTATGTAAATGGAAAAATGAGACTTGTTGAAACTATTCCAGGAATGGGGGAAGGAGGAAAAAGGAGAATGATGAAGGGGGCAAATTCAGCTATTCTATATTTGATATATTGTAGGAACTTTTGTAAATGCTACAATGTACCCCCAGCACAACAATAAAAGAAAAAAACCCCACAAAGATTCAGGACTAAGCAAAGCCTGTTTACATAGATTTAAATGGAAATGTTCTATATGTGTAGAAAAAGAACCTCGACTTATTCCATATCCTTTATTTCCAAAGGAATGAGCCATAGGGAAGCATTTTATTGTTTCTGGTCTAATCCATTTCTAAAATGCAACACCCATCCAGCAAGTATGAATGATTCCAGCACTTGTGTGTAGAATCTAAAAAATGACTTTTTCCATTAACATTTGGTGGGGGAAGGGAGAGGATAAAACTTTAGGTGAAAAATAGACACTGATAACCATGAAAGTAATTTGTTTTTTATTTAGCTACTTTTGTTTTAAGCGATCTTGTTTTCAGATATTTGACCAGATACCAATCACTGAAATGTTGATAGTTGCCATACACACTCTTACTGGATACGTCAGTTTCTTTAGTTTTGGGGCTTTCATTAAAGCAAAGACCATGTTGTATAATCCAGTTGGTTCCATGGATTGCCTCTGATTGTCTGTCTCTCTGAGCTCCTAGTTCTTTATAATGCTCAGGACTTATAGAAGCTGTACTATTGGTCTTTAAAAATACAAAACTCAAGTATCTTCAGAAACATATTAAGCTCCTATTATAAAAGATCATTATTTGTTTTCCCTCCCTCTCAAGCCCAGCTTTGAAAAACATTTACCTGCTGGAGTTCCACCCTTCCCTCGGCCTGGCTGGGCTTATTCCCAGAGCCCTTGAGCACCTGCTCCGTGAGGCCTGCCACGCCTGCAGGCTCACGTCACCCAGTGGCTTCGCCTTAATGGAGCAACACATCTTGCAGCTGGCCCTGGACCTGTGGCTCAACCCAACCAAGCCTGAGGTCTGGTACAGCACACAACTCCAGAAAGATGTAAGTTCTTTCTGCAGGGGGCAGTTGGGTCCTTGGCAAAGAGAACCTTTCCCTCCAGATGTTACTACTTAGCTGTGCTTTTCTGTTTGGATTTATTCCCCTCTATTTGGCCAGAGAGGGAGCAGTCTTTTTTTTTTTTTTCCAGTCAAGTTTCTAGTTTATTAGGATGCTGCAGTAATTAAAAGGGGAATCACATAGCTATGTGAAAAATATTTTCTGATTTATTTTATATAGTTTAACAATGAACATTGGTTAAAATTTATGTATTTTCTTCCCTTTAAGATTCTTCCTACAATTTGTTTTTTTTTTTGTCCTGAGTTAAACTCTGGTGAAGGAGAGAGAGCCTTGAGTTAAGACTCAAGAACCTGGAGTCAAGTTCAGCCCTGCCATTATGAACTTCCTATGTGACTCTGAGCAAGGATCTTAGCCTCTTTGAGGCCCTTTCATTTTTTGTAAAACTATGTTTGTGTAGCTGGGGCGAAGTCAATAAATTCAGTGATCTCTAACCCCTTCCTCAAATGCCCTATGGTCCAAACCATGGCCTAGTGATTTATATGGAGCCCATAATTGTGGCTGAGGCTATCTAGGCTTCTGTTAAGGTTGAGCCTGGCCTTCCACTTTGACCTTTCTCAGTGGGACACTTGCTGTGTGACAAAGGAACTTTCAAGGGCCCCAGCTTCCAAAAATATCTGCTGCTTGGGTCTGCCTTGGACTCCTATCTCCTCCTCCTGTCCAAACTAAAATTTGATTCAATTTTAAATTGATCAACATAATATAAAAGTACAAAGAACTTTAGTAAAGAGGAAAGAACAAAATTTAGCCTAAATAAAACCACTCAATTGCACTTATTCTCATTATTTTTCTGAATTTAAGTATTCGTCATATGCATAGTTATAAACATCTCCTTCATACATTGTTTTCTTCTGTTTTTCTCAGCTTGTATTATATTATCCTACATACTTTTTCATTGTACAGCCTAGTCTAGCTAGTCTGTGTACTTACCTGCAAACACATGATTTCCTACGTGGCGAATCGCAACTTCTCTAACCATTTCTCTACTGATGGGTCTTCAAGGGTGTCCAGTTTTTCATTATTATTAAAAATGCAGAAAGGTACATCTGCATGCTTACAGATAGTTTCACATTTTGAGTGTATTGGTTTTGCTAGATTTTTGGAAGCAGAATTGCTGAAATGAAATTTAAATCTTGGATACATGTTGGCATATCATTTTCCAAAAGAGCTGTGCCAACTTATGATGCCCCCACTAGAGAACTAATTCTGCTAGAACGTGCAGTACAGTATTAGGTGAAAGCATTTAATGTGTGAACTAATATACTATGCACATGAAAGATGCCACTATGCTCTTGATCTTCATTTCCTTGCTATTTATCATAATTATTTTTTTGCAAACGTTTTGTTACTAGCTGAATTTTTGTGAATTTTCTGCTCTCTCCCTTTACTAACTTATCTGTTGGAATTCTACTTTCATTCCTATCCATTTACACGAACTTTTCTTAAATTAAAATTTTAGTCTCTTGTCTATCATATTTGCTGCATTTGTCTATTTTAAAGCAGAAAATTCTTATTTTCATATAGTCAAATCTGTTGACCATTTCCTTTGCGGTTTCTTCTATCCTCCTAAATACAGCAAGAAGATCTTCTTCCAGATGTTTCATATTTATCTTATTTTATACTAATTTTAAGGACAACTTAAATTTTAAAATATTTAACTCCTTTTCCATTTCACAAGTGTGTGTGTGTGTGTGTGTGTGTGTGTGTGATATGTGAAGTGTGAATCAAAATTGAATTTCCCCCAAATTACCAGACATTTGGTTGGCTTCCATTTATTGAAAATTCTTTTCCCATTGTTTTATGGTGCCATATTTTAAAACTGTATCTGAAATTCTCTTATAAATGATATTGAACATCTGGAATACTTGTTTAATCTTCTATTGATGCTACAGTTTTAAGTATTATTTTTGAAATGTGTTCATATTTGGTTGTAGAAATGGTAGATATTCAGATCATTATTTTGTGTTAGGTTAGCAAATGGGAGAGGTGGTACCCTCAGAAGACATGCAGGAATTTAAAATCTCTTTGTTACCATGTTAGAGGACTGTGGAGACTAGAAGTCGCATCCTTGAGTAGGCAAGTCCTTTGGTGAACAAGTAGACAGATGAGGAAGCTGTGCACTTTGGGGGAACCACACCATGAAAGACAGAAGGGTCCCCAAGCTGGGTCTTTGCTGGCAGTGGCATAAAAGAGGACAGCAAAAATGTCAGAGCAGAGGCACCCACCAAGACAGGAGGGCATGAAGGGACACATGGGATCATGCAGAATGGGCTGGGAGTGAAGGGATGCTGTGAAGCAGGTAATGTCTTGGAAAACTTCTGACCTTGCAATTGTGAAGCTAAGATACTGCTGTGTGACTTTGGAAAATTTAAAGGTTGTTTCAGAGCCCTGGTTGCTGAAGGGGAATAATGGTACCCATGATGCTACTTCATGGAAATTAGAAATACTTAGACATTTTGAAACTGCAATTAGAGGGGCTTGTAAAAATTATTACTGCTGGCCACAAAATAAAATCGATGACTTCTATTTCTATTTAGATAATTTTTGTCATTCCTGTTCTTTAAGCTTAAAACATTTATGATAATGATAACACTTATCATAATGATGGTAGCAATTATTTGTATGTTAACTCACCTCTCAGCAACCCTGCTCTAGTCATTGTCTGTCAGTGTTCAGTAGGTACCTAGGAAATCTGCATCTAGAGTCTGTACCATTGACAGTATTACTGCTATTTATTTTTGGTGGCAGTACTGAGGTTTAAATTCAGGGCCTTGCACTCGCTAGGCAGGCACTCTACCACTTGAGTCACACCTCCAACCTGATATTATTTATTTTTAATACATGAAGTTTATTCTTCTGTGTTTCAAAATTACTTTGTTTTCTTTCAGCTATTTTCAGCTAAAGTGATGGGTGATCCCTTTCTCGTGGAGGAGATAGGCTTGCTTGCACTCAAGTCTGCAGCAGACAAAGAACAGAAACAAGGCCAAGTTTCTCAGGTGCTGCTCCTGGAGACGTTTTCCAAACTTCTGGAACTCCTGACCCTTCGCCACCGACTGATAGAAATGAGTGTGGAGAGTGCACGCTTGGCTCGGTCAGTAGGGGCACCAAGAGGCCAGCCGGAACACTTCATGGCTAGATACCGGGACTAAGTAACACTCCATGTCTTGCTGCCTTCAGGCCTTGCCCCTGTCTGACCCCAGAGCAGCCAGAGTGAATTTTCTGGAGGTGTGGCTCAAGTGGCAGAGTGCTTGCCTAGTGAACAGAAGGTCCTGAGTTTAACCCTCAGTATTGACCAAAAAAAAAAAAGTAGAAGCAGAATTTGAACTGTTACTCAAGGTATTATCACCTCTCAGACACTGCCTCTATAATTTATAATCCTTGCTTTCAGGGAGCTCACGATGTTAAAAATTACCAACAATACAGAGTAGTAATGGTACTTTACTCATCTGAACAAAATTCTACAGGAACACAGAGAAGGGAGTGTTTCATTCTTTCTAAGCAGATCAAGGAAAGTTTCATGGAAGAGGCACCATTACCTATTGAATGGAGTCCCTCCAGAATTCATATATTCAAGAATGAATCTCGAGTACTTCAGAATGTGACCTTATTTGAAGCCAGGGTCTTTTCAGGAGATAGGATAAGCTGCTGTTACTCAGGTGGGCCCTGATCCAATATGACTGGTGTCCTTGTAAGAGGCAATTTGAGCTAGACTTGTACAGAGGGAAGTCCATAAAAGACACAGGGAGAAAATGGCCATGTACAAGCCAAGGAGGACCTGAAACAGAGTCTCCCTCACAGCCCTCAGAAGGAGCCAACCCTGCGGACACGTGGATGTCAGGGTTCCACCCTTCAGAATTGTGACAGTCAATTCCTGTGGTTGAAGCCACTGAGCACTTTGTGTGTTTCTCTGGTACTTTGTTACAGTAGACCTAGAAAACTAATACAGCTGCCAGTCTCAATGCTTCAGTTTCTCAGGGGGTGAACTGGGTTAGTATAGGGGTGCGAAGGTCGGGGGAAAGCATGTAGACAAGTATGACTGAGCTGTCTGAGGGACATCTGGGTGAAACCACATTGCCAGCTATGGAAATGCCAGAGTAGAGTGCAAAGGCCAGTCAAGGGTCACAGATTCTTACAGGAGAGGGGTAGATGAACTCCTTAATGAGGGCATGTAGTTGGTAGAGAGGACCAAATTTGGAACCTTGGGAAACATCAGCATTTGAAGTAAGGAGGAGGAGAAGCCAGGGAAGACTGAAAGAGAGTGGTCATGAGGCCAGAGTATGAAGACTTTGGATCCAGGAGAGTAGATGTTCTTTGGGAAGGGGCAAAGGGGCCTACTGTGGAGAGAAGTCAGGGAAGATTGCATAGAGGGCAACACTGATGACCTCATCAGGGCTCTGAGGACAGAAACCAACCTGCAGGAAATGAGTTGAGGAAGTGCTGAAGCACATTTCCTTCTACTGTCACTGGCTTCTCATTCATAACTGTCCAGGAGAGCAGACATAAGACCTTTGTGACTTGTTCACTTCACACAGTATTGGTCTTACCATTGTTTGACTGCTTTTGTACTTATTCAGGCATTTGGGCTTTCTTATTACTTAATTCCCTTTCAGGAGAAAACACTAACAAATGTCCTTGGCTCTTTTTCTTTTTTTCATTTTCTTTTAGGCTGTATAAGGAATTGGCATTGGAGATGGGTTTTGAAGAATTCCATTTGTATCTGAGGCCTGTTCATTTTGAATTTGCAACACACAAGGACAAGGTGGATCAATCACCTCCTGTCTTTATAACTTCTCTGCTGGAGGACAATGGACGGGTAGACAGGTGAGTCTTGAGAGGGCCAAGTGAAAATACTGTAACATTAGAATAAACCAGTGAAAATAATTTCCGTCACTAATGCACACAACTGCATTCTTAATTTCCTTCCCTTGTAGTCTATCTGCTGTGATGCAGGTTTTTTTCCTTTTCTTTCTCTTTTTTTTATAAGAAGACAGAAAATAAGATCTTAATCAAGGGGGATAATTGGATTTAAGAACACAAAAATGAAAGCACCAGCTCAGACAACTCACATGAAACCTCAGGCTCTGCAGCCTCCCAGGTAGAAAATGTTGTTTCCAGGTAGAAACAGGCGTGAGGGTTGGTCTGATGGGGCAAGAGCCAGGCATCAAAAATCCAGGTCTTTTCTCTTACTTTCCTGGAGACCAGGAAGAAGTCATTTTTAAGTTTAATAAGCACTGTTTCTTTCAAATTGTAACACCATAACTCAGTGCACAAATCTAACATGTAGACAACATCTCTGTCTCTTTTGGTGACTCCTTCATTGGAAGTCAACTCCACAAGGTCAGCCCATAGCCTGAAAGAAAATAGTCTTAGCTACAGTAAGTCTACAGGCTACTCAGCTGGAGGAAGAAATCTTTCTTTTCCTCACAGTCAACCTTCAATGTGTGGAGAATTTCTCCTATCTCCCTTTTCTTTCTGTCCCTGCTAGTTGTCCTTTTCCCCTAGGGTCCCAGCTCTATCCTTAGAGATTTTTGGTACTGGTTCCATCCCAAGGATGGCAAAGGTTAACTTCAAGGAAGGAAAGTCCCCTTTGTTTAGCTAATGTAGATTACAACTCTGATGTGTTAATATGCTAAAGGATCCTCCTAGCTTGGGCTGGAATGAAAGGGGCAGTGTCACTGGAGATGAATGAAGGTTCTTGGTTTAACAGAAGAAAGAATTCAGGGACTGATGCACAGAGGAGCTTTAAGAGAGCAAGTTTTTTTTTTTTTTTTTTTTTTTTGGCAGTACAGGTTGTTGACCTCAGGTACTAACACTTGCTAGGCAGATGCTCTACCACTTGAGCCGCACCTCCAGCCCCTACTTATGTTGGCATAAAACACACCCTATCTTGCAGTCTTCCTAGACCCAGATCCTCCTATTTGTGCTTCCCCAAATAGTTGAGACAACAGATTTGTGCCTCTATGCTCAGCTTATGTTGGTTGAGATGCAGGTCTTGCAAACTTTTTTGCCCAGGCCGGCTTGGAACTGCAGTCTTCCTGATTGCCACCTCCCAAGTAGCTAGAATTACAGGCTTGGGCCATGATGCCCTGTAAGAAGAAGACTTATTGAAGCAAAAGCAAGTGCAAAGCAAAAGTACTCCCTCAAAAAACTGACGGCAAGCAGCTTGACCAAGCAAATACATTGAGTTGCCAGGTCTTAGGCAATTCTATGGATAGGGTTTAAATATTATGCTAAGGATATGTGCATAATCATGGAGTTCTCCAGGAAATGGGAAGGCTTTTCCAAGAACTGGAGGGTGGGAGTGGTTTTACCTTAGGTGTCCTTACAGCCAGTACAGCAATTTGAGGGAAGGTAGATGCATGGAGCCACAACTATAATTAGATGTAGATGAGGCCTCTGGCTAACCTTCTGGGTGAGGAAAGTCCCTACTGGAGGACTTTTTTGGGGGCCACTATACCAGGAAGTAGCCCCAATCGTGGTCAACCAGGAAGTAGCCTCAATCGTGGTCAACCATTCCTCCAGGACAGTGGTGGAGCAGGATGTTTGGCAAGATGTAGCCAAATAGGGTGCTGCAGCTGTTCTTTGGCTCCTTTTTCTTTGTTGTTCCCTTTTTTTCTGCCTGCCTGCCCATCCCATCTCATAAGGATGATAGAATGAAGTATCCTCAGATTCCTCAACCTTGGCACTATGCAAATGTGGGGCTGTACTAGTCTTTGTTGGGGGTGGGGAGGGCAACTGTCCTGTGGGTCTTGGGTTGCTTAACAGCATTTCTGACTTCTACCCACCAGATGCCAGTAGTACCCCCATGCACAAACTCTATCGTCCCCAATACTGCCACCCCTGCTGTTTCTGACAATTAAAGGGGTCTCTAGACATTGCTAAATAATTCCCTAGAGGCAAACAGTCCCCTACTCTATCCTGTCACACTAGCTAAACAAAAAAGAGATTCACTATAAGAATGCAGAGATGTGTTACAGAAGCCAAAATAGGAAGTTTGATTGGGCCTCATGTGAGGCTAGTTCTCCAACTGGCAGAAAAAGTCTGGAGCCAAGCTATATTCCAGATCTTCAAGGGCCTCCTGCTAGAGCCAGGATTTTATACTGCTATGAAAATAAGATACATCCTTGTTCAGCCAGAATCCACCAATCAGCACAAACTGCCCAGATGCTCTGTGGTCTGGTCAAATGGTTATTGGTCCTCCCCAAGATGCTACAAGACGAGAGGATCTTCCAAATTACCCAGGGATCTAGACAACTTGTGTTTTGAACTGGTCTGGTATTTATTTTATGTGTGTTAATTCCCTAAAGTTGTCACTTTGGAGGGCCACTGTAACAACAACATATCTCAAAAATGAGTTTAGTGACTTACATTTAAAAAAATCACATCCGTGCATATTATCTACTTTATATTTACCATAGTCCTATGATGGGTAAGATCCCCATTTACAGATGAAGAAAAACAATACCTGGGCAAAATGTCAGTTATGGACAAAGAGCTGTTTCCCAAGGTGAAACCCTGGCTGCAAAGAATGTTTGGATGATTGTTAGAACCACAAAGAGAGCAAGAATTAGACAAGATTTAGGGGGGGTTGAAAGGAGGGAGTCAGTGCATCCTCAACAGGTATGAACAAGAAGGCAAGAAGAAAACAGGAGTGGATCAAGAGACAGAATTTAAACAGTATGAAGTGGTCACCACAACCAAAACAACAGAGATCAAGTCCAGTGAGGAGTGAAAAGACCCCAGAGCCTTCCAGTTTTAGGTTGAAATATGGTTTGAAATAAAACTTGCAGTTGTGCACTGGAGGCCTGGCTCAAATGGAAGTTTGGCTCTGAGTTCAAACTCCAGTACAATAAATAAATAAAAATCATATACTTGCTATCACTATTGATGTTTCAGATCTGGCCACATGTCTTTCCGCTCCATCACAATGGGCATCTCTCCCCAAAAGTAATCTACATGTTTAATGCAATTCCCATCAAAATTCCAATGACATTCATTAAAGAGATTGAAAAATCTACCATTAAATTTATATGGAAACACAAGAGGCCATGAGTAGCCAAGGCAATACTCAGTCAAAAAGAACAATGCAGGAGGTATCACAATACCTGACTTAAACTATATTACAAAGCAATAACAATAAAAACAGCATGTTCTGGCAACAAAAACAGACATGACCACCAGTGGAACAGAATAGAGGACCCAGATATGAAGCCACACAACTATAACCAACTTGTCTTTGACAAAGGAGCTAAAAATATGATGGAGAAAAGACAGCCTCTTCAACAAAAACTGCTGGGAAAACTGGTTAGCAGTCTGCAAAAAACTGAAACTAGATCCATGTATATCACCTGTACCAATATTAACTCAAAATGGATCAAGGATCTTAATATCAGACCCAAACTCTTAAAGTTGATACAAGGAAAGAGTAGGAAATACTCTGGAGTTAGTAGGTATAGGTAAGAACTTTCTCAATGAAACCAGCAGCACAGCAACTAAGAGATAGCATAGATAAATGGGACTCATAAAACTAAAAAGCTTCTGTTCATCAAAAGAAATGGTCTCTAAACTGAAGAGAACACCCACAGAGTGGGAGAAAATATTTGCCAGCTACACATCAGACAAAGGACTGATAACCAGAATATATAGGGAACTAAAAAACTAAATTCTCCCAAAACTAATGAACCAATAAAGAAATGGGCAAGTGAACTAAACAGAACTTTCTCAAAAGAAGAAATTCAAATGGCCAAAAAACACATGAAAAAATGCTCACTATCTCTAGCAATAAAGGAAATGCAAATTAAAACCACACTAAGATTCCACCTCACCCCTGTTAGAATAGCCATCATCAGCAACACCACCAACAACAGGTGTTGGCGAGGATGCGGGGAAAAAGGAACCCTCTTACACTGCTGGTGGGAATGTAGACTAGTACAACCACTCTGGAAAAAAATTTGGAGGCTACTTAAAAAGCTAAACATTGATCTACCATTTGATCCAGCAATCCCACTCTTGGGGATATACCCAAAAGACTGTGACACAGGTTACTCCAGAGGCACCTGCACACCCATGTTTATTGCGGCACTATTCACAATAGCCAAGTTATGGAAACAGCCAAGATGCTGTTTAAGAAAATGTGGTATCTATACAGAATGAATTTTATGCAGCCATGAAGAAGAACGAAATGTTATCATTTGCTGGTAAATGGATGGAATTGGAGAACATCATTCTGAGTGAGGTTAGCCTGGCCCAAAAGACCAAAAATCGTATGTTCTCCCTCATATGTGGACATTAACTCAAGGGCAAACACAACAAGGGGATTGGACTTTGATCACATGATAAAACAAGAGCACACAAGGGAGGGGTGAGGATAGGTAAGACACCTAAAAAACTGGATAGCATTTGTTGCCCTCAATGCAGAGAAATTAAAGCAGATACTTTAAAGCAACTGAAGCCAATAGGAGGGGGGGGGATCAGAAACTAGAGAAAAGGTTAGTTCGAGAGGAATTGACTTGGAGGGTAACACACATGCACAGGAAATCAGTGCGAGTCAACTCCTTGTATAGCTATCCTTATCTCAACTAGCAAAAACCTTTGGTCCTTCCTATTATTACTTATACTGTCTCTTCAACAAAATTAGAAATAAGGGCAAAATAGTTTCTGCCAGGTAGCGAGGGGATAAGGGGGGAGAGGGAGGGGGCAGGGGGGTAAGGGAGGGGGTAGGGGGAGGAGAGAGAAATGACCCAAACATTGTATGCACATATGAATAAAATAAAAATTAAAAAAAAAAACAATGGGCATCTCTTAGCTGTGAGGACATGCCTGTAATCCCAGCTACTCTGGAGACTAAGACAGGAGGATCTCAGGTTCGAGGTCAGCCTAGGCAATTTAGTGAGATCCTATCTCGAAATAAAATAAGAAAAGGTGTCAGGGTAAAGCTCAGTGGTAGAGAACATGCCTAGCATGCACAAGGCCCTGGATTCAATCCCTAGTTTTGAAAAAAAATATAGAATGGGCATCTCTTGATTGGCAGCATGTCACATTAAACCAGTGTCATACTTCTTCTTGCAGGTATTCTCCTACTACTCTTGTCTTAGCCATCTCTGAGCTGGATGACAACCAAGTTGGCAAATTTAGCTTTTATACAAAAGAAGCCATCCTTAAGGTAAATTATTTCATTTATTTTTTTTAAAAAGAAGCTAAAGTAAAATAAAGTTACTTGCCCACATGTTCTTAATAAATCAATATTTAACTTATATACATTTGGCTTCCATCTATAAGAAAAGCTTTCCTTCTTTGGTAAAAATGATGGCCTTACCTTACTGGTGTACACATTGGCTTGACTTGAGCCATGGGAGACTGCAAAAACCACATATAATAACTTCTGTTAGATGTGAGTAAGAAACAATTTTGCATCAGGTTTTTAAAATATACACTTATTGGTACTTCTTTTTCCCCTGCCACTTTGACTTCTTTGCTTCTATATATGTATTTTTTTAAAGACATTGTTTTAATCTTGGCTTATGAGAGCCTGCCACTGGGTCCTGGTAGTGTATCAGAGCCCACCCATCCTCCCTGATCACTGGGGAAACCTCATGGTGTCCAGCTACAGAGCAAATCAGTCCTAGAGGCTGCCTTCCTAGAATGAAAAGCTGCTTTTGGAAAGACCATAAGGTAATGTTAACGGCTGAGTAGCAAGGACCCCAAGTCATCCTGAAGTAAATTTATATACGTATTCACATTTTGGAAAAGTGATGATCTCAACCTTCAACTTCACTTCTTTCTTTATGGGAACAATTCCTAATGACTTTCACATTTCTTCTTTTAGCTCTTATTCCATTCAGGAGTGGAAAATTTGCAAGTGACCCTTGCATGCCAAGCTGCTCAGAAAAATGCTTTGATGGTGGCTGTTCAACAGGCATCCTTCTATCACCCCCATCAAGTGGGCTGTCCTGCTGATGTCAAGGTCAGCCTGTAGAATGTAAAAGCATGCTGTTACTACCCTCAGCTAATGTCAGGCTTCTACTTCCCTGCCTCCCTTCCTCCCTTCCTCCCCCCTCTTTTGTCTCTTCCTTCCTTCCTTCATTCTCTTTACTTCCTCCCTCCTCCTTTTCTTCCTTCGTCCCTTTCTCCCCCCTTCCCTGCCTTCTTCTCTCCCCATTCCCATTTTTCCTCTTTCCTATTTGTGTAGGAACAAAAACTTAGACTCAGTTTCTTACACTATGCAGTCACAACACTAATCACTTCTGTGACCCCAAAACGTGTAGAAATTTCTCTCCCTACAGCAAGCAAATAGTTAATTCTGGACACGCTCTAATTCAGGTCAATTCTGACACCATCTACCTAGAGATAGCATCAGAGCCCACTGGATGAGATTTACTCCCAAAAGCTTCCACTTCAGATCTAGTTGCCCAATCTGGGCCTCTAGAACTTCTGACTGACTGGCTACAAATTGGGGTTACCATGACCTCTTCCTCAGGTTCAATTAATTTGCTTGAGCAGCTCACAGAGAAATACTCTGTTCATTTTTACTGGTTTATTATAATGGTGTTTTAAGAATATAAGTAAGCACAGATAAAGAGATACATTGGGTGAGGTCTAGAAGGGTCCCAAGTGTGGGATCTTTGTCCCTATGTATTTGGGGACATTCTCTTACAAGTGTGGAACAAGAAGGGAGCTGATGGCAAAATAAGGAGGAATAAATGATGGAGACAATGAAAGCAGACATAAGGAAGGAAAGGAGAAGGAGAGAGAGAGCACAAAAGTGTGCACTGCCACCAAAGCCAAAGGGAGTATTTCAAGAAGGAACAAGTCCCTGAAGAGGTACAGGTGACAAATACACATGTGAAAAAATGCTCAACACCATTAGTCATTAGAGAAATGCACACTGAAACCACACTGAAAAACCACACCACACCTATCAGAATGTTGAACTTTAAGACTGACCATCTCAAGGTCACAATTTCTGACTGAAAAACCACACCACACCATCAGAATGTGAACTTAAGACTGACCATTCAAGGGCACAATGATTGGAGATCTAGACTGCTTTTTTCTGTTTTAATTCTGACAGAGTGTCACTGTGTAGCCCAGGCTGGACTGAAACTCATGTTCCTGCTGCCTCAGCCTCCTAAGTACCAGGATTACAAGTGTGTATCACCACACTCAATTCTGGGACACTTTCCAGAACCTTGGAAAATGGTTTGGCAATTTCTTTTATTTATTTATTTATTTATTTATTTATTATTCATATGTGCATACAATGCTTGGGTCATTTCTCCCTCCTGCCCCCACCCCCTCCCTTACCACCCACTCCGCCCCCTCCCTCTCTCCCCACCCCCTCAATACCCAGCAGAAACTATTTTGCCCTTATCTCTAATTTTGTTGAGAGAGAGTATAAGCAATAATAGGAAGGAACAAGGGTTTTTGCTGGTTGAGATAAGGATAGCTATACAGGGAGTTGACTCACATTATTTCCTGTGCTGTGTTACCTTTTAGGTTAATTCATTTTGATCTCACCTTTTATCTAGTTCCTAGTCCCCTACTCCTATTGGCCTCAGTTGCTTTTAAGGTATCTGCTTTAGTTTCTCTGCATTGAGGGCAACAAATGCTAGGTGTCTTACGTATCCTCACCCCTCCCTTGTGTGCTCTCGCTTTTATCATGTGCTCAAAGTCCAATCCCCTTGTTGTGTTTACCCTTGATCTAATGTCCACATATGAGGGAGAACATATGATTTTTGGTCTTTTGGGCCAGGCTAACCTCACTCAGAATGATGTTCTCCAATTCCATCCATTTACCAGCGAATGATAACATTTCGTTCTTCTTCATGGCTGCATAAAATTCCATTGTGTATAGATACCACATTTTCTTGATCCATTCGTCAGTGGTGGGGCATCTTGGCTGTTTCCATAACTTGGCTATTGTGAATAGTGCTGCAATAAACATGGGTGTGCAGGTGCCTCTGGAGTAACCTGTGTCACAGTCTTTTGGGTATATCCCCAAGAGTGGTATTGCTGGATTAAATGGTAGATCAATGTTAGCTTTTTAACTAGCCTCCAAATTTTTTTCCAGAGTGGTTGTACTAGTTTACATTCCCACCAGCAGTGTAAGAGAGTTCCTTTCTCCCCCCATCCTCGCCAACACCTGTGTTGGTGGTGTTGCTAATGATGTCTATTCTAACAGGGGTGAGGTGGAATCTTAGTGTGGTTTTAATTTGCATTTCCTTTATTGCTAGAGATGGTGAGCATTTTTTCATGTTTTTTGGCCATTTGAATTTCTTCTTTTGAGAAAGTTCTGTTTAGTTCACTTGCCCATTTCTTTATTGGTTCATTAGTTTTGGGAGAATTTAGTTTTTTAAGTTCCCTATATATTCTGGTTATCAGTCCTTTGTCTGATGTGTAGCTGGCAAATATTTTCTCCCACTCTGTGGGTGTTCTCTTCAGTTTAGAGACCATTTCTTTTGATGAACAGAAATTTTTGGTTTTATGAGGTCCCATTTATCTATGCTATCTCTTAGTTGCTGTGCTGCTGGGGTTTCATTGAGAAAGTTCTTACCTATACCTACTAACTCCAGAGTATTTCCTACTCTTTCCTGTATCAACTTTAGAGTTTGGTCTGATATTAAGATCCTTGATCCATTTTGAGTTAATATTGGTATAGGGTGATATACATGGATCTAGTTTCAGTTTTTTGCAGACTGCTAACCAGTTTTCCCAGCAGTTTTTGTTGAAGAGGCTGCTATTTCTCCATCGTATATTTTAGCTCCTTTGTCAAAGACAAGTTGGTTATAGTTGTGTGGCTTCATATCTGGGTCCTCTATTCTGTTCCACTGGTCTTCATGTCTGTTTTTGTGCCAGTACCATGCTGTTTTTATTGTTATTGCTTTGTAATATAGTTTGAAGTCAGGTATGTGATACCTCCAGCATTGTTCTTTTGACTGAGTATTGCCTTGGCTATTCGTGGCCTCTTGTGTTTCCATATAAATTTAAGTAGATTTTTCAATCTCTTTAATGAATGTCATTGGAATTTTGATGGGAATTGCATTAAACATGTAGATTACTTTTGGGAGTATAGACATTTTTACTATGTTGATTCTACCAATCCATGAGCATGGGAGATCTCTCCACTTTCTATAGTCTTCCTCAATCTCTTTCTTCAGAAGTGTATAGTTTTCCTTGTAGAGGTCTTTCACATCTTTTGTTAGGTTTACACCTAGGTATTTGATTTTTTTTGAGGCTATTGTAAATGGAATTGTTTTCATACATTCTTTTCAGTTTGCTCATTGTTAGTGTATAGAAATGCTAATGATTTTTCTATGTTGATTTTATATCCTGCTACCTTGCTATAGCTATTGATGATGTCTAGAAGCTTCTGAGTAGAGTTTTTTGGGTCTTTAAGGTATAGGATCATGTCATCTGCAAATAGGGATATTTTGACAGTTTCTTTACCTATTTGTATTCCTTTTATTCCTTCTTCTTGCCTAATTGCTCTGGCTAGGAATTCCAGTACTATGTTGAATAGGAGTGGAGATAGTGGGCATCCTTGTCTGGTTCCTGATTTTAGAGGGAATGGTTTCAGTTTTTCTCCATTAAGTATAATGCTGGCTGTAGGTTTGTCATATATAGCTTTTATAATGTTGAGGTACTTTCCTTCTATTCCTAGTTTTCTTAGAGCTTTTATCATGAAATGGTGTTGGATCTTATCAAAGGCTTTTTCTGCATCTATTGAGATGATCAAGTGGTTTTTGTCTTTGCTTCTGTTAATGTGGTTTATTACATTTATTGATTTTCGTATGTTGAACCACCCCTGCATCCTGGGATGAAGCCTACTTGGTCGTGGTGAATAATCTTTTTGATGTGTTGTTGAATTCGGTTTGCCATTATTTTGTTGAGGATTTTTGCATCAATGTTCATTAAGGAGATTGGCCTATAGTTCTCCTTTTTGGAGGTGTCTTTGCCTGGTTTTGGGATAAGTGTAATACTGGCTTCATAAAATGTGTTGGCAGTTTTCCTTCCCTTTCTATTTCATGGAACAGTTTAAGGAGGGTTGGTATCAGTTCTTCTTTAAAGGTCTGATAGAATTCAGCAGAGAATCCATCAGGTCCTGGACTTTTCTTTTTCGGGAGACTCTTGATTGCTGCTTCAATTTCATTTTGTGTTATAGATCTATTCAGGTGATTAATTTCCTCTTGGTTCAGTTTTGGATGATCATATGTATCTAGAAATCTGTCCATTTCTTTAAGATTTTCAAATTTATTTGAATATAGGTTCTAAGTAGTCTCTGATGATTTCCTGGACTTCCATGGTGTTTGTTGTTATCTCCCCTTTTGCATTCCTGATTCTACTAATTTGGGTTTTTTCTCTCCTCATTTTAGTCAGGTTTGCCAGGGGTCTTCGATCTTGTTTATTTTTTCAAAGAACCAACTTTTTGTTTCATTAATTCTTTGTATTTTTTTTGGTTTCTATTTCATTGATTTCAGCTCTTATTTTTATTATTTCTCTCCTATTTGTTTTGGGATTTGCTTGTTCTTGTTTTTCTAGGAGTTTGAGATGTATCATTAGGTCATTGATTTGGGATCTTTCAGTCTTTTTAATATATGCACTCATGGCTATAAACTTTCCTCTCAGGACTGCCTTTGCTGTGTCCCATAGGTTCCGGTAGGTTGTGTTTTCATTTTCATTGACTTCCAGGAACTTTTTAATTTCCTCTTTTATTTCATCAATGATCCATTGTTCATTAAGTAATGAGTTATTTAGTTTCCAGCTGTTTGCATGTTTTTTTCTTTACTTTTGTTGTTGAGTTCTAGTTTTACTGCATTGTGATCAGATAGTATGCATGGTGTAATTTCTATTTTCTTATATTTGCTGAGGCTTGCTTTGTGCCCTAGGATATGATCTATTTTGGAGAAGGTTCCATGGGCTGCTGAGAAGAATGTATATTGTGTAGAAGTTGGATGAAATGTTCTGTAGACATCAAGTAGGTCCATTTGATCTATTGTATATTTTAGATCTTGGATTTCTTTA